GACTTTCCCAGAGTAAATCATTACCCACACTCTGGTAACTAAAATATTTTCACTCCACTTCTCTCTATTTATATACTTTTTCTAAGAGGCCACAGAGAGATAACTGCTCCCTGTAAAGCTACTTGGTTAATCACGCAAAGCCTCTTTCTCACCATTCCCTCTGCAAACACAGTTTCATGTGCTTTCTATGGGAAACTGAGGAAATGAACAAAGTGTGCAGCTCCCCCCTCCTCTACCCAACATTCTTTTCAGTCTTAAGCAAGGAACACGGTACTGAGGCCCTCAGCGTTCTATGCTGGATGGCCTAGCCCAAGGAACCATGGCTCTGCCAGATCAGGGGACAAACACACTTGTTTGAAGAATTCAGTCAAGAGTGAGAGATCCTTTTCAAAACAAGAACCAACTGCTCATTGAGATTTGAAGAGTCCAAGGGAAAGAAGATTATACAATTCACAGGCTCTCTTCATTCATCTTAAGTTTATCCGTTAAAAGAGCATGCTTTCCCTGTTTCCCAGGGAAGTCAAACACTCACAATTCTACGGTGTGCAGAACTGTGGTCACACTGTACTTCTCCTGAAAAGCCATCCTTCCTTCTTTCCTCATTTTTCTTCTTTTCTTCCTTCTCTTTTTCTCTTCTATCCCTCCCCGTTCCCTCTTCCTCTCTTGTCACACCTCTGTCTCTGGTTGACTAGATGGTTCAGATATTTTGTATTCTCTCTCTTTATTCCCCTTCCTAAAAAAAATTATATATATGTGTGTGTGTATATATATATGTATGTAGGTATATAGCCGAATGTTTCAAGTCCCAACTTAAAATCCTATTTTGTTCTTTTCAGTAGTTTCTAGTCCGTCTCCTCTAGGACACAAGCAGAATGAGAGACCCCAAGAGAAAATTACATTTCAAACTAAACTCAGTATGATCACTGCTCACTTTCCACTTAAAAAAAATAACATAAACATTCCTTATTTTTGATCAGCTAATGTATGTGTAACCTTCCTCTAGGCACTTTGAGAAAAAGAAAAATAGTAAAATACAGGGTCTGTGACATTGCAATTCTAAAGGTGTCTGCTTTCCCACTGATTTCAGCCAAAGGTGGCATTGCTATATAATTAACCTTGGCGCTGGAATACAGACCCAGCTTTAAATCCGTCATCAGTTTAGATCACCTAATGTCCTGCATTCATGCCACTCCAACTTCATTCCCCTCATTTCTTAATGATTTTAGCTCCTGGCTCCTTCTCACTGCTCTCTGATCTTACCGTTCTGTGATTTTAATATACACATCAGCGATCCTTCCCACGCTGGCCTCCTGGTTCATTGACCTCCTCCCCTGGAATGGCCTCACCCTCAGTCGGCCTCGTCCAAGCCCCACTTGGAAGGATGAGGATTCTGACCAATCCCTTGCAGTCCCCTCCCAGAACACTACGGCATCCTTCTAGCTCACTCTGGTACTTGGCCCCAGTGATCTTCAGTTCCCTGGGTCTTCCAGTGTATTGATCAGGCCACCATTTCACTGCCCCTCATCCCTGTATGTCCTCCACTCCTCCAGGCTTAACTTCTAAGATCAATTTTTGTCATCATTCTCTTGCCCTTCTTGCTTCAGCTCTAAATCTAACTCTGCTTACTCATGCTGCGCCTGTACACTGAATGTGGCTGAAGAAAAATTCACAAGCCGGCTGATGGGCCTCACTTTAAATTCATGACCTTGATGCTCTCTCCTCAGAGTCCCACTGCCTCTTGCCTCATCCGCACTCAATTGATAATCTTGCTTTCCAAACTTGACTGGCAACACTGAAACAACCAGAAGAGAATTTCATAGATCCCACCACTTCTACCCACTGCCCAGCATACACACCCTCATCCTTTGCCTTCCTGCTGGTTCCCATGGGTGAACTTGTCATGCTCCTATAGACAGCCTCCTCCTCCACTTAGGTACCAGATTCTATCTGCTCTTATCTATTCAAGGACATCTATCCACTGATTCTCCTTCCTCTCCCCCACATCATTAATTTTTGCTCCCTACTAAATCACTGACATCAGCATGTACACATACTTCTTTTTGTCCCATTTTAAAAACATTTTCTTTGATCCACTTTCTCCACCAGCCATCATCCCACTTCTCTGAAGCAAAACTCCCCAAGAGTCATGTATTCTTGCTGCTTTCACTCTCTCCCTTTCCATTTCCTCTTAAACCCATTATAGCTAAGCTGTCACCCTCCCACTCTTCCAAAACTGTTCTTGTCAAGTGATGACCCCATTTCTCTATTTCCTTTTGGAGCAGATTCCTCAAAAGGATTGTCAATATTCACTGTCTCCAATTTCTTTCCTCTAATTCCTTTTAAAACCCATTCTAACCACCACTATTCCACTGAAAGTGCTCTTACTGAGTCACCAGTGACTCTTTTTGTTGTAAAATTCAACGGTCAATTCTCAGACTTCATTTTACTTGACCTGTCAGCACCATGTCACACAGTTGAACACTTTCCTTTATACCTCTGGCTGCCAGCACACTGCGCACTCTCGTATTCCCTCCTACCTCACTGATCTCTCCTTAGTCGTCTTCTCCTTGACTGTGTAATTTTGGAGGCCCCAGGGCTTAGACTATCAATACTCACATTCTTGGTGATTTCATCCAGCTCTATGGCTTTAAACATCATGTATGCTGATTATTCCCAAATATGTAGCCCTGTCCCAGACCTCTTGTGAGCTCCAAATTCCTAATGCCTACTATCTCAACTCTGTTGTTCAACAGTGATTTTAAATTTAACTCATCCAAAAGCAAACTTCTGATTCTCCTGTGGAGATTTGCTCCACCACGACCTTCCCCTCTCTGCTTCTGGCAATTCCATCTTACCAGCTACTGAGGTCAAAATCCATGGAGTCATCCTTGACTTCTTTCTTTTTCTTATTTCCCCTATCCAATTCATTTCCTTATACCATTATAGGGCATCTGCCATCCACCTCCCTTGCTACCACTTGATCTGGGAAATTTCTTTCACCTGGATTACTTTGATAGCCTTCTAAAAGATCTCCCTACATCTACTACTGCCCCCATCCAATCTATTCCTCATGCAAGAGCCACAGCGATCCATGCAAAACCTAAGTCGGATTCTGAGTTCTCTGTTCAAAATCCTGAAATGGCTTTCCATTTCACTAAGAGCAGAAACCAAACATCTTATAGTATCATATTAGACCCTACTTGATCTGGCCTCTCTCATTCAGTCTGCTCCAATCACACTGATCTCCTTGTTATTTCTCGAACACCCTAGGCATGCTCCCGTCTTAGGGCCTCCACTTGGCTCTTCTCTCTTCCTAGAATGCTGTTCTCTAGATTATCCACTAGCTAACTCTCTCATCTTTGAATCTCTGCCAAAATCTTACCTTTTCAATGAGGCTTCCTCTGACCACCCTATTTAAAACTACTACTCCCCACTCCCAACCCCAGAACCCTCAATGCCCTTATTCAACTCTTACTGTTCCTTTTCCTTAGCATTCATCACTTTCTGGTATGATTTACTGTTTACTTGTTATTCATTGTTTTTCTCCTCTGTTACAAACTCCAAGAGGGAAGAAATCTTTGTTCTATTTACCAGTATATCCTAAGGACCTAGAAGAGTGCAAGGTATACCACAGGTACACAATAAATATTTAATGTTTAGTAGGTTAAGTATTCCTTAAAGGTAGGGTAGTATTTGTCTCAAGACCATTTCAGCCTCATGCTGTTTTTGTGGTAAGATTCTTTTCAAACTTTTGATTCAATTTATTTATTGTTTCTATGTCTATTTAGGTTTTGTACTGCATTTCCGTGTGAATAAGTTATACATGCCATGAATATATTTCATCCTGGTTTGAAAATGCACCGGCATAAAAGTTGTCCAACATGCTCTCTCATATTTCTTTAGATCACTACTAAAGATCTAACTTATGATTATATATTTCATTCCAAGTACTGTTAACTCATTCTCTCTCCTTTTACTGTTAATCTTTGGTTGATACTCTACTGTCATTCATTTTTCTCTTCTTACAGTCCTCATTACCTTTTCTCTACTTTCTTTGGCCTAACTCTGCTGGTCTTTTACACATTACTCAAGTTATACTCTTTGATGAGTGATATAGTGCTCACCAGTACTTCTAGTTTCCTTCGTCTAGGCTCAGGGGACAGTAACACTTACCTGACCTTTTGAAGCTAGGCAAGGCCATCTGACTGGCTCTGGCCAATGATATATGCCACATGCCACTTTTGATGGAAACATTTAATGCATGGGGAAGTGATGGTCTTTTCAATAGACAGTGTCTGGTCAATTCAATAGTCATATGGAAAAAACAAATCTTGACTCCTCTCATACCATTCGCAAAAGCCAATTTCAGATCGATTGTAGTTATAAAAGTGAAAGATCTTAGAGAGGGAAGATTTCTTAAACAGCACAAAGAGCCCTAATCTAAAGGGGAAAATGATAAATTGGAATGCATTACAATTTACAACTTTTGTTCATCCAAAGACATCCTTAATACAGAGAAAAGCAACTCAGAAAGGGAGACGATATTTGCAAGACACCTTTCTGAAAACAGATTTGCATCTAGCACTTGTAAAGGATTCCTATAAATCAATAAGAAAAATATGGAATACTCAATAGAAAAATGGGAGAAGACTCAGACACTTCATAAAGAGGATATCAAAATGGCCCCAAAACACATGAAAAGGTTTTCACTTTGTTACACATTAGGTAAATGCAACTTAAAACCACCATGTGATACCACCACACACCGACAAGCAAATAAGAAGGATGACAGAGGTTATGGAAACAGACGGTCATGGAGAGCCTGGAAGCAGCCTCTGGGCAATTGCTAGCAGCCTGAAAAAATGGCTTTCAGTGTGAAGAGCCACATGGCCCTGTTGGGAACAAGGGCCTAGAAATCCAGGGCTCAGGGAGGCTGGGGTCTGAAGTGATGACGGGCAAAGGCCAAGGAAATAAAGACTGAGGGTGTGCCATCTTCCCAGGAGCAGTAGATGAGGAGGAGGGGGCTGAAGTGGTAGAGCAGAAGCCAGGAGGTAAAGAAATGGAAATGGTGAAGGAAAATATGGTGGTAAATGAGGTGAAGGTCAAGGCAGGTCCCTGGTCCCTGAACGTGGATGCCCACGCGAGCTCCCTGGAGGCCATCCAACTAGAAGTGGACACTGAATGCTCAGGCTGACAGAGCCGTACTACAGTTACAACACAAGTGTGGTCAGGTATGTCAACACTTCCTAGAGCAGAGGAACTGCATTGTTCAGAATATCCCCAGCTTCTGGGTCAGTGCCTTTTGGAACCATCGATAGCTGTCCACCCTGATTAGAGGCCAAGAAGCAGACATGTTAAGGTACATAGCCAATTTGGAGACACCCTAGGGTGGGCTTCAAGTTCTAGTTCTTTCAAAGAAACCCACAGTGCAGAAACAAGCTGATTGTCAAGGAATATGTCAGATCATCCGACCAAGTGGAGTCTCTTGCCACTCCAATCATAGGGCACCCAGGCCATGAACTCTAGTCTTCCATTCATAGGAATCGAGACGTCACCTGCAGCTTCTTCAGTTGGTTTTCAGACCACAACCTTCCAGAGCCTGACACAATTGCTGAGATTATCAAAGAGGACCTCTGACCAAATCCACTTGAATACTGCCTATTGTGTGAAGGGGCCCACAGAGTTAGACTCTGCCAGATAAGGAAGCCAATGGGGATCCCTTTGGGTTCCAATCTGGTTAACCTCTGCCCTTGGAAGTACTCCCATACAAGATCCCCTACCACTTCCTGCTGGACCTGTGCCTTGGCAACAGCACTGGGTATGCCTATTACTCTTTGTGTACTGATCTTTCTGCACCCTGCTTCCTTTGAAAACTCACTCTCTCAACTGCAGGATTGAGACCTTCATGGCTGTTCTGCATTAACATTACATGCTCTGTGGCACGGTTCACACTCTTCTAAGTCAAACAAATGATGCTATACATTGCACTGTCTTTATCTATAATGCTTGCACCCTGTTTGTTCCCAGGACCTCTAGTCTGGTTACTACCACCTGGATTTCTAGCTTTGTTCAGGAGCCTGTTGTTTTGTTTTGTTTTTTAATTTTAATGTATTTTTAAATTTAAATTCAATTAATCAACATATAATGTATTATTAGTTTCAGAGATAGAGGTCAGTGATTCATCAGTCTTAATAACACCCAGTGCTCATGATATCATGTGTCCTCAAAAGCCTGTTTGACACACTCTGCTCATCACTGTGGACAACTGCTGGGCATTAATCAAGCCCAGGGTGAACGGCAGTGTACCACTTGGTCCTATGTGATGTATCCAACTCCACTGATCTTCCTGCCCTTCCAGTCACTGAGTGCTGCCTGCTCCTGGCTATACACCCCCCTTGGGCTGCTGCCTGATGGATGTAAAATTTCCAGACCACTGTCAGCTCCACTTTGTTTTTGATCAACCCTGATCTTCAGAAGTGTTGGTAGACCTAGGTTCCCCGCCAGCCCAGAAAAGGCATTCCTATTTCTCCCCTCAAAGACCTTAATTCCACACCACCACAACCATCACTCAGGCACTACTGACTGTCTGGCTGTGGTTGAGTGGACAAGTTAGAGCCAATTCACACAGCAAGGATAACAGTAATGTCTTTGGTGAGAAAGTTTTCTTAGCCTCGCCCAGTGAATTCATACAAAATGTAGGGACTCTGATTGGCCTCCTTTCTTCGTCCTCAACATGATCAAGTGTCAGAGGTGCCAGGGTGGTGTACTCTTTCTCTTTCTCCTCCTCCTCTCCTTCTGTTTCTCATCCCTCTTTCATATCTCTTCTACCTCTTTTTAAAAGTAGTAGCGCCCCCTCAGGGCGCCTGGGTGGCTCAGATGGTTAAGCGTCTGCCTTCGGCTCAGGTCATGATCCCAGGGTCCTGGGATCGAGTCCTGCATTGGGCTCTCTGCTCCTTGGGAGCCTGCTTCTCCCTCTGCCTCTCTCTCTCTCTCTCTCTCTCTCTCTGTCTCTCATGAATAAATAAATAAAATCTTTAAAAAAAAAAAGTAACGCCCCCTCAAAAAAAAAAAAAAAAAAAAAGGTAGCCCAGACTCATCTGCAGAAGCAGGCTCTTTAGTTTAATCTAGCTCCCTTGTCATCTCCAGAGGCAGAGCAGGTGTCCTTTCAAGGAAACTTCCGGAGCTCTTATTGCCCCTCTGCGCTCTTCCAACCCCTCCCTCCCTTAGCAATGACTACAGGGCTCAAAGGAAGACCAGTCCACAGGGAAGGAAAAGTGTTTCCAGTTCAGAATGGATGAAAGGAAACAAAGAGATTGTGGTTGGTGCCCTAAGCAGGGAAAACTGAATGAAAGGCCAGATGCAGGACTGAGCCTGAAATGCAGGGCCTAGAATTAAGACCGGGTCAACTGTGAGCCTGCAAGGACAACTTGCTCTGGGAGTGGTGATGGGAGGAGGAATACTGTTCTCAGGACTGGCCTGGGAGAACTGCAGGTTGCTGAAGCGTTAACTCTGTTGCCTTGCAAAGGGTTCTCTAAAGAAAAACAGTGCCATGTTGACTGTTTTCTCTCTTGTCTTCATGTGATCTTGTTTATGTGGAAGATTAATACAATACTACTGTGCCCTTAATTTCACTAGTATTTAGTAAAATCTATTACTTTCTCTGCTTCTGCTTACTGGGAAGATTTGGCAGTATAGATTTTATTTTCAATTGGGAACATCTGGAAGAATATCCATCTCTTTCCTGTATACCATGGAGAGTTCTGTGAATATTCTTAACAGTTTCACCTTGTTTCCGTTAAAATTATCTTTAGATATACAATTTGAATAACTTGGTCTTGTCAGAAGCTGAAGACTTCAGAAATTGTTGTCTTCATGGAAAAATTCCCTAACAAAAAATTTGTGGCTCTGATTGTCTTGACAATTTACCCTGGTAACAGCTTAGTCACTGATGTATCTCTTTTTCTAAATAGCAAAATGACTTGTGAGATTGCTCTGTAAAATTGGAAGGGTACCATTGGCATATTTATCTTTATTTATACACATTATGGCAAAATCAAAGCATGTCAGCCTGAAAAAACAGTTAAACTAAAAAGATGGAAAATAAAAAGGGTGGAAAGTACACAGAGAAACCAGAATGGTAGAAGAGTAGCCTGATACGAATACTTTAGACAACTGTTTGGCAGGCTCTATGCACACCCTCTGATCCAGCTCTGGGAATATTCCCAACAGAAATGCATATATGTATTCACAAAGACCTGCATAGAAATGTTTTTAACAGCACAATTCTACTAGCTAACACTGGGAACTGCCCCAATATTCACCACTGGTTGAAAAAATAAACAAGCTTTAAATATTCACACCATGGAATACTGTGAGAAATAAAGAACTATGCCTACATGTAGTAATATGAATGAATCTCACAAACATGACGTTGGATAGAAGAAGCCAGACTCAAGAGTACGTGCTATATAATTCCATTTCTATATGAAGTTTAAGAACAGGTGAACTTGATCTATGGTGGTAGAAGTCCAAACAGTCATCACTACCAAGAACAGTGAAGATTCTGGTATCTGACCCCCTACTTACAAACTTAGCATGTTATCCTGCCTAGTTAGCAGATGCTGAGTCAGAGACAAAGGACCTTACAGCTCAACAGCCAGTGTCAGTATTTCTACCCGTCTCTTGAGCCCTTTGAAAACTCTTAATCTGCAGCATGACGAAAGCCACGTGACACCTGCACACACAGTGGGCTGCGTTAGAGGAGAGGAACCCTGGCCTGAAGGAAAGTGAATCCTTGGGCGCCTGGGTGGCTCAGTCGTTAAGCGTCTGCCTTCGGCTCAGGTCATGGTCCCAGGGTCCTGGGATCGAGTCCCACATCGGGCTCCCTGGTCCACGGGAAGCCTGCTTCTCCCTCTCCCATTCCCCCTGCTTCTGTTCCTGCTCTCGCTATCTCTCTCTCTGTCAAATAAATAAATAAAATCTTAAAAAAAAAATTATTAAAAAAAAGAAGAAAGTGAATCCTTTATAATGGGAATTAAGCATGTCTGCCCTTTGCTTTGAAGGCAGACATTATCTTTATTATACTGAACAGCAAGGAAACCTGTACTTTGCCCCATAGGACACACAATCTCTACTTTTTCAAGGCTGTAAGCAAACCTGCCCTTTGCTCTGGAGGGAAACACCATTTCTGTCTTCCAAGGCTATTCACGGATATCCTTGAAAAGATACTCTGAACCAAGGCAGTTAGTGTTTCTGCTTCCAAAAGTGCAGAAACATCAGAGACCCATGATAATTATCTTCCAACAGTTTTGGAGGGTGGGTACCTATTGACTGGAAGGGACTATGATGGTGGATTCTAAAGGACTGGAGATGTCCTATGTCTTAATCTGGGTGCTGGATACCTGGGTGTATTCAATTTGTGAAACTTCACTGAGTTGTATACCTGTGAAACACACTGCTATATGTATATTATCCTTTAATGAAATACACCTGAGAAAAGCAAAAAAATAGAAATCCAAAGTAAACTAAGGAAAATAAAACAATAGAAAAAATTAAAAACAACAAAACAAAACCTGATCATTTTTCTGGAACCTCTACACTAGAAAATGACTGGCCAATTCAAAAGTATGTTTCAGATCTTTTTGGGTAGGCAATGATTCCATATCTGAGAATTCTAATGGGTTCATTTTCTGTGTCACATTCAAATGGCTAAAATCCATTTTCTAAGGATAAAAGTACTCAATTATCTAGGTATGGGCCATCAACTTTTAGTATGTTTACTGAACCTGTTCGTTTTGTCAACTGGCTTTTATCAGAGTTTTTCACTTATAAACAGTTCATTAATCATGGCTTGTGATAGTTCATTTCTTTTTCCATCGTGGTAAGTGCACTCTTTAATCCTTATCACATATTTCATCCACCTCCCCTCTGGTGAACCATCAGTTTGTTCCCTATAGGTAAGAGTCTGTTTCTTGGTTTGTCTTTTTTTTCCTTTGCCTGTTTGTTTTGTTTCTTAAATTCCACATATGAGTGAAATCATCATATGGCATTTGTCTTTCTCTGACTTATTTTGCTTAGCATTATACTCTGTAACTCCATCCATGTCACTGCAAATGGCAAGATTCATTCTTTTTTATGGCTGAATAATATTCCATTGTATATACATACCACCATCTTCTTTATCCATTCATCAGTTGAGGGACACTTGGGCCATTTCCATAATTTGGCTATTGTAAATAATGCTGCAATAAACACACAGGTGCATGTATCCCTTTGAATTAGTGTTTTTGGATTTTGGGGGTAAATACCCAGCAGTCCAATTACTGGATCATAGAGTAGTTCTGTTTTAATCTTTTAAGTAACCTCCATACTCTTTTCCACAGTGGCCACACTAGTTTGCATTCCCACCAACTGTGCAAGAGGATTCCTTTTTCTCCACATCCTCATCAATCCTTGTTTTTTTGTTTTTTTGTTTTAAGTCATTCTGACAGGTGTGAGGTGATATCACATTGTAGTTTTGATTTGTATTTCCCTGATGATGGGTGATGTTCAGCATCTTTTCATGTGTATGTTGGCTATCTGGATGCCTTCTTTGGGGAAATGTCTGATCATGTCTTCTGCCCATTTTTAATTGGATTATTCATTTTTTGTGTGTTGAGTTTTATAATTTCTTTATATATTTTAGATATTAACCCTTTATCGGATATGTCATTTGCCAATATCTTCTCCCATTCCATAAGTTGCCTTTTAATTTTATTGATTGTTTCCTTCACTCTGCAGCAGCTTTTTATTTTAATGTTGTCTCAATAGTTTATTTTTCCTTTTATTTCCCTTGCCTTAGGGGATATACCTAGAAAGATGTTGCTATAGTCGATGTCAGAGATATTACTGCCTATGTT